CCAGGTGGGATTTTGGGGTCCCTCAGAGTCACTCAGTGAACCCAGGTGGGATTTTTGGGGTCCCTCAGGGAGCCCAGGTGGGATTTTGGGGTCCCCAGGAGTGGCTCAGGGAGCCCAGGTGGGATTTTTGGGGTCCCTCAGGGAGCCCAGGAGGGATTTTTGGGGTCCCTCAGGGAGCCCAGGTGGGATTTTGGGGTCCCTCAGGGAGCCCAGGTGGGATTTTGGGGTCCCTGGGAGCTGCTCAGTGAACCCAGGAGGGATTTTTGGGGTCCCTCAGGGAGCCCAGGTGGGATTTTTGGGGTCCCTCAGGGAGCCCAGGTGGGATTTTGGGGTCCCTCAGAGTCACTCAGTGAACCCAGGTGGGATTTTGGGGTGATTAAAGATTTTGTTGTCACCCGAGGGGGTCACTTGGGGTACCCCCAACCCCTTTAGTGTTTTTGAGGGGGGGCTCGTGGATGAATTCGGGGTTCCCCGCGTGCCTCAGTTTCCCTTTTGCCCCCCCAGAAACGGATGTCGGTGACCGAGGGGGGCATCAAGTACCCCGAAACCACCGAGGGGGGACGCCCCAAACTGGGGGGGCTGATGGACCCCCGGCAGGGCGTCATCGAGAGGACGGGGCGCTGCCAGACCTGCGCCGGTGAGCTGGGGGCTGAACCCCAAAATCCTCCCGGGAGGGACCCTGAACCCCAAAATCCTCCCCGGGAGGGACCCTGAACCCCAAAATCCTCCCGGGAAGGGCCCTGAACCCCAAAATCCTCCTCGGAGGGGGCCCTGAACCCCAAAATCCTCCCCGGAGGGGGCCCTGAGCCCCAAAATCCTCCCGGGAGGGGCCCTGAACCCCAAAATCCTCCGGGGAAGGGCCCTGAACCCCAAAATCCTCCCGGGAGGGGCCCTGAGCCCCAAAATCCTCCGGGGAGAGACCCTGAACCCCAAAATCCTCCCGGGAGGGGCCCTGAGCCCCAAAATCCTCCCGGGAGGGACCCTGAATCCCAAAATCCTCCCGGGAGGGACCCTGAACCCCAAAATCCTCCCGGGAGGGACCCTGAACCCCAAAATCCTCCCGGGAGGGGCCCTGAACCCCAAAATCCTCCCGGGAGAGACCCTGAACCCCAAAATCCTCCTGGGAGGGGCCCTGAACCCCAAAATCCTCCGGGGAGAGACCTGGAACCCCAAAATCCTCCCGGGAGGGGCCCTGAGCCCCAAAATCCTCCCGGGAGGGACCCTGAACCCCAAAATCCTCCAGGGAAGGGCCCTGAACCCCAAAATCCTCCAGGGAAGGGCCCTGAACCCCAAAATCCTCTCGGGAGGGGCCCTGAGCCCCAAAATCTTCCTAGGAGGGGGTTGTGACCCTCAAAATCCTCCCGGGAGGGGCCCTGAGCCCCAAAATCCTCCCGGAAGGAGCCCTGAACCCCAAAATCCTCCCAGGAGGGGCCCTGAACCCCAAAATCCTCCCGGGAGAGACCCTGAGCCCCAAAATCCTCCCGGGAGGGACCCTGAACCCCAAAATCCTCCCGGGAGAGACCCTGAGCCCCAAAATCCTCCCGGGAGAGACCCTGAGCCCCAAAATCCTCCCGGGAGGGTCCCTGAACCCCAAAATCCTCCGGGGAAGGGCCCTGAACCCCAAAATCCTCCCGGGAGAGACCCTGAACCCCAAAATCCTCCCGGAAGGAGCCCTGAACCCCAAAATCCTCCCGGGAGAGACCCTGAGCCCCAAAATCCTCCCGGGAGAGACCCTGAGCCCCAAAATCCTCCCGGAAGGGGCCTGAACCCCAAAATCCTCCCGGGAGGGACCCTGAACCCCAAAATCCTCCCGGTTTTGGGGGGGATTTGATGGTTTTGGGGTGTCCTTTTTTGTGGGTTTCCCCTTTTTGGGGAGCTCCCCTCATTTCCCTCTCCCCAAATTTCACTTTTGCCTCACCCGTGGGAATTCTTGAGGGAGACTTTCGGTGTTTTTTGGGGGGTTTTCCTCTCTTATTTTGGGGTCTCTTTTTTGGGGGTGATGTCGCCCTTTTTTTGGGGTTTTGCTTTTTTTAAGGGGGGTTCTTGTTTTTTGGGGTGCTCCCTGTTTTTAGGTTTTTTTAGGGTTTCTTTAGGGTTTCTTTAGGGGTTTTTAGAATTTTTTTAGAGGTTTTTCTGGTTTTTTGTTTTTTTGGGGTTTTTTAGGTGTTTTTAGGGGGTTTTTGGGTTTATTTTTTGGGTTTTTTTTTAGGTTTTTTTTAGGGTTTCTTTAAGGTTTCTTTAGGAGTTTTTAGAGGTTTTTTGGGGTTTTTTTGGGTTTTTTTAGGGTTTCTTTAGGGTTTTTTTTAAGGTTTCTTTAGGGGTTTTTTGAGGTTTTTTGGGTTTATTTTTTGGTTGTTTTTTAGGTTTTTTTAGGTTTTTTTTTAGGGTTTCTTTAGGGTTTCTTTAAGGTTTCTTTATGGATTTTTAGAGGTTTTTTGGGTTTATTTTTTGGTTTTTTTAGTTTTTGTTTTTTTTTTTTTTTTTGTTTTTTTTTTTTTTTTTTTCTTTTTTTTTTTTTTTTTTTTTTGTTTTTTTTTTTTTTTTTTTCATCCCTCCATTGAAAATCTCCTTGGAAAATCCT